TGTGTGTGCATTTGTGTGTTTGTGTATGTGTGTGTGTGTGTGTGTGTGTGTGTGTGTGTGTGTGTGTGTGTGTGTGTGTGTGTGTGTGTGTGTGTGTGTGTGTGTGTGTGTGTGTATGTGTGGGTGGGTGCATACATATATATTTACACATTTATGTAGGTATATTATAATATATCTATGCATATATATGTATATATATGTATATATATCCATACACACTCACACACACGTATATACATTTATAAAGAGAGAGAGAAAGCAGCAGGAGGCCATGGATGTACGAAGTCATGGCCCATCGGAGTTACGGACACACCCTGGTTCCACATCAACTGCTCCTCAGCCCCCCAGGGTTAATGGGTGGCTCAGGGGAAGAGGGCCTTGCCGGTCCTCCTCCCCCCAGATTAAAAAAAAAAAAAAAAAAAAATCATTGGCAACTTCTCTTATAAATGGTAATGCTGGGGGTATTGGCTTTACCTTGTATCCAGTAAGTGAGACGGGCTGTGGGTCTCGTTGGGAGGGCGACTACTGGGGAGTAAGATGGAACGCAAGTTATTTGTCCCGCCTGCACTCTGCCAATGCTGTTCGTCTTCTGTAGTTTGGTGTTTCTCTACAATAGTTGAGGGTGAAGAAAACACAGATGAAAACTAAAGTAGGGTCATTGGAGATCAGCTCTGCTGAACTCTTCATATTCCTCTGCCCCACACGCCAGGCTCTGCCAGAGAGTGTCGCTTCCAGACATGTGACTAAAGAGACAAAATAAAATATTGTACTCTGCAAATTGTACAGAGAACCTCATTCTTTTATAAATATAAACTAAACATAACCTTCTGGCTTAATGGCTTAACATATCACACGAAAAGGCAGTGCACATAAAATCACATAATCATCACAATTATTAGTACGAGTGGGTACACCTACTACTGGTCGGGCTGGGGTGACGGCCATCATCTCCAGGGGGTAGCCATAGCCATCTCCAGCCGAATTCAACCGTCGGTAGTCGACGGAATGTCAGTTGATGAGTGTTCTATGGCACTGAGATTGAAGGATGCTTCTAGCCTCATGTCTCTTGTTGCTGTGTATGCTCCGACAGATCTTTGCAAACTTGATGTGAAAGAGGCATTCTATGCCAAACTCACATCTGTGGCTGACAATTGTCCCTGGCGAGACATGGTTTAGGAGCTTATCCCAGCAGTGAGAAGAGCCTCCTTCTCCGGGATTTAGCTAGGTCACAGAGACTGAGGATTTCTGGCTCCTGGCATCAGCACTCCAACCCACATCACTGGATATGGTATAGTGATACGGGTACTGTGGCCAAAGAGATCGACCACATTCTTGTCAGCACTCACTGGAGGATCTTTTAGCACTTACCAGTGCCGAGTTTTGTGGCACTGTTCATAGGCTGGTTGTGGCTACCCCATGGGTCCACTTCAAAACTCTTCGTCCCTTCAGTGGGCATTCTAAGGTGTTTCACTTGGACAGATTGAGGGAGGAGGATTGTGTCCAGAGGTTTGCCACAGCAATCTCTGATTGGTTCACAGAAC